CATTAGTGTAATAGATCCGAAGCCTATTTAAGTGGCTTCGTGCTTCACTCAGAGTGGCTTCGGCATCATTCTCTGTCAAAGCCTTACAACCCGAAAATTTACTATTTTTATGTCCTTTTCGCCACGTTGCTATAAGAGGCAATTACAGTTACGTCAAACATACTGTGGGATTCCAGAGGGTTGTCGACGATTTGGAAGGTCAGATTATGTTTCTCGCTGGAAACCGATCGAGCGTTGGGATAGCTGCCTCTAGGCGTTTCCTGCTGGATACCATTTAGAAGACGAAGGACAAAAGAAACTTCTTTTCTTGAGTTTTTAGTTGAGACAGACCTCTTTGTAGACTGTTTTTCCTCCTTTGGTCGTGGAAAATCACCCGTTCTCAAACTCACCTGAGTTTGCTTCACCCCAATTTGCGTGTCGACAGAGCGAGCGCTGTTCGATGTGTTCCGACCACGCTTGCCAAAACACTTTTTTGCAGCATTTACCAATGAGATGGCCTCGGTTGGCAAGCTGTTCGCATCCGAACAGCACTGTTGACGAAGCCATACGCAACCGTTCTTACTGAACCATTTGAAAGCCGCAGGCATTAAATTCATGCAAACTTTGTGGTACCAGCCTTTGCACTCATCGCACTGCATGTTGCTTTCAGCGGGATAACGACAGTCCGGTAATTGCTTTTTTTGCACTGTCCAGTCATCAGACAGGTCATTTAAAAAAAACGAGATGCAATAATACTCAGAAACAATAATGATCTATGACCAAAAAAGTGAGAAAATGTAGAGTTTTGGGACCAACAGTGCTAACAAATAGAACAGAAAACAAAGTACTGAAAAGTACCGACGAAAAACTAATTTAGAAACAGTAACGATACTCTAGTCGAATACTTTAACTGAAATAAATTCAATTAAAATGAAAACAGTAGTCTTGATACGTAATAAACGAGAAAAACAATAGGATTTACTCAGCGAGAAAAAACACCGCTGTCCTTTTAATTAGCGCGCGTGATGATTCACCAGGCAAGATCGTGAGTATAAGGCTACTCCACCCCTAATCCCTGTTTTTCTGTCATTGCGAAGCAAAGACGTTCCAGGTATTGCTAGCTCCCGGTCCGTAAGCAGAGAAGATATCCAATTAGCAGATATTCCTATCAGATGAGCATTATAATATTATTGAGTTCACGCAGTTCAACCATTTTATTCAGTAAAATCGCGGCTTTCATATGCAAGCAGCTTATGCTTTCATTCTGAAACGCGTGAGCTTCCTCGTTCTGTCTATCTGCATGAGCTTAATGTGAATGAACAGATATCCTACCTATGCAAGGTTTTCCGAGTTTATAGTCCCTGTCATTCACCCTTTTTTCATGATCTAGACAGTCCACAAGTGGAATGGTCAGCCTCAACTTGTTTTTGTGCTTGATTCTGGCGTCATGTGGCCTATATGGATGCGTATGTTTTTCAATTGACAACCGGCGTCTGTAAGCATAAAATGCCTCCAAAATTGTAGCCGCCATTTGGGAGGATAGGAAGGTTACCTTTGTCAGTCGAGGTGTAGAATCACCGTCCTTCTTGGCGAGTCTCACAACTTCCTGAGCCTCAAGGACTGCTTGATGAACTTCCATTTAGGAATGTCAGATTTAGTGTGGTCAGGGTATGTGTTTTCTGGTACACCTTGCACAATGAAATTTCTTCCGCGAGATTCTTTAGGGATGTCCCGGATGAGAATGCGCTCGGAATACGGCATGCCAGACGGTATTATTACGTTCACATCAGATTTCAGTAGGTAACCAATGATAATAATGTATTCTCAAATAACATTCTTTTACTTGAGGCACACCAGTTTACAAGCAATATCAATATGTTACAGAAGATACAGTTTTAACTATGGTGGCTTACTCGATTACTTTAATATTTTGTAAGGTGCAATGATCATAAATTATGAAGAGTAATACTTCTCACATGTGAATGCGAATAATATTAGTCAGTAGGATGTTCTCTGCGTCCGTAGCATTTATAAGTGTTACATGAATTGGTCTCGGGTTTCATTGATGCTTAGAGTCCTTTCCTCGAGTGAGCCATGTAACCATCAAAGGCTCCATTTTGGAAAGTTCAAGCATTTGTTTAACTCTTCCCAGATCATCCTATCATTTTTGTCCTACAAAATGACGGAAGATCAGACCTGTCTTCAAGGTCCATGAATATGAGAGAATCATCACGAACCGTTGTTGTTTCCCCAGGTTTTCAGGTACGTTGGGGCTGAGGATCTTGTTGTTTGGACGTCGGAGCGCGTTCCCGATTCTTATGCTCTTTGCTGACCGGTTGGACATCCAAGGAGGCAGACTGAGCGGCCAAATCACCAATTGATTTCCCTACAATACTTAGGATGTTCAATCTTCTAGACGGTGAAGCCTGGTTCTTTTTAACTTTGTTAACGATTTAGAACTGCCTTTTTTCAGGTTCGCTGACAACTTATTCTGCAGACCTATCAAGAGAATGATAATCTTGCTCAGCAAAACCTCAGCATTCGTGTTGCACATGACATATACCAACCCACGATCCGACATACTGAGTCTGTTGTAAGCAGTCACTGTATGGCCTGTGCACGCTTCGCGGAACCAGCCTTTGCGATGGTCACACTACATGCCAGATGTAACAGTAAAACGGCAACCGGGTCGATTGCATCAATTCTTCATAAATATGGTGACGTGCATTGTAATATTGATACCAGGAAAAGCTTGTGACCGTGAAACAAAAAAGACAGTACACTAAAAACTGACACAATGGATGAATACGGGTGGTACAAAAGGTTAGATAAACTGAAACTAAACTGACGTGAAAAATTGAAAAACCGGATAGTAAGCTGAGGCGAAACCACAGTCAATTATTAAGTTGGGTAGAACTCAAGAATTAAAGTAATCTGTCGAACGTCAACATCAGCATAGGTTCTTTAGATCAGAAGTGGTACTTTTGTTGCGCAAGAACAAAGTAAAATTTCGAGAAATGCAAATCGCTTTACAACTAAACTTCCGGTTCGCAAAATGCGTGCTTGTCAAATATGCACAGGTTCTTACCTGGAGGCATCAGTGATCAACCACTACTATATATAGAAGACTTTTGACTAGAATCTTTTTTTCTGTCCACAATTATTTATCCCATTTAATTGTCTAATCACATATGAGAAATAGCGCAACATCTGAATCCGAAGGTCATATGAGTCTGTTCTGTAGCTCTTTTGCACATTGGTACGATAAGAGTTTCCATTCCATAACACACTTAAACTCTACTGTTTTAACAACTTCGAGCATTGTAAACTGACCTCTCGAAATTTCATCTAGTTATCAGCTAATCGGAAGACAAATGATGTAGATGAATTAATTATAATTATAATTAATGGTCGGTAATAGCATAGATTAGAGAAGAGCTTCAAACAATCTCGATGAGTTCTAAGCCAGTTTTTAGCCAGCCAAAGAGTGGCTTTTGTTAAAAGGTGATTTTCAAAAATGAACACGACAATAATGTCGTATTCTTATGATAATTATCATAAAATTACAAACCAATTTCACGTGGCTAAAAATCGGTTTTTAAGGCGACTCTGCCTGTAAGTCGATAAAAATAGCACTTAAATTAAATCACAACAAAGAACTGAGTATTTTTTCGAACCATTATAAGAACCTAGGTAGGTTATTAAGTCTACATTGATATTGTTTAGGGTTGAGCCCTTATGGTAGACGCAGACTACTCGGTTGGGGTCCGCGTGACTGTCGTAACAAATGGTTGGAGACTCTGGGTGACATGGCTCAGAACCGATCACAATGGCTTAGGTTTATGCACTCTCTATCTTCCCTTAAACTATGAGACTTAAATAGCTTCATATCGTTCTTTCTACGAACTAATTCTTTCTTTCTGTACTATATCCTTGCATAAAATCTTTTCTTTATGTGTTACACTATTGAGTTAACTGCCTCTATGATTCCGGTGTTCGTCTTGTTGTGCTAATGAGGTATAGCAACTTAGGCCGATGCATATTTGCGCCTGGTCTTACGTTGTAACTGACTGACTAACTTATGGTAATGATTAGGGGTACAGGGTTAGCGTTTCTTACCATAGATTTGGATCACCCATAATACGAAATTAGTTTCTAAACATGAATAAGTCCCGTGAAATTTCGCAAAACCTAAGGGATGTTATCTAGTTTGTCTGTCCAGTTGGTCAAGGTTTATCTGAAGATTATTTATCTGGGGTAACATTCTGGGGATAGTGTTCATTTGCCTGTCATGTACAATATACGGAAAAAGAAATGAGGACCTAATATCTTCCACTTTTATCCCATAACAGCAAAAATGACTTTTCGTTATCATTTAAGACATTCTGAGTACTATACAAAAATGTTTTTACTATTGGTTATACCTCATGTTTCAGTTTTAGTCAGGATCCTAAAAGTCACGTTCTTAATATCGAATTATTCATCTCTGTATTATTCTTTTGCCTAATGATCTTTTTCGGAGAACGAAACTGAATGTGTATAATTTTCGTGCAGCAGCTATATTGTTCTGACGAACGTACCTTATTCAAGATTACGGCTCATAGGTAATGAAGTAAATTCACTCAAATCAATTTCGCTGCTCATACTATCAAATTACACTTCAATTTATCAATTCCTTTGTTTCGTGTAGTATGTGGTTGTAATCTCTATAACTAAAACTATGTTCTTGTGTCTAATTTACTTTAGATGTCTGATGGTGAATACCTTCCTGATGGTTCTTTAATTGACTTAGCTGGAGTAGACTGGAGAGAAGATATATTACCCTTTGAACTCATTTTGGTCAAACCTAACTCACTTCCCGATCCAGAACCCCAACCTCTTGGTACTCAGCGGTGTTCTGAAATTCCGAATTCCGATATTTTCGATAACATTCGTTGGAATGAGCTTGATCTAGATAGCTTGCTTTCCCACCTTAATCTTCCTCCATCTGTGTAATCATTGTGTTTACCGGCTGTTAATTTCGCTAATATGACAACAACGTGGTCAAAATTAATTTCCCGGGCCGAAAAGTTAATTGGAGGTCCCTCACCATATATTAATTTAGGGAATATATTATCTTCTGAAGCTGGTTCTTTAGCATCGCGAGCTCGACGACTGGCAGGAAATGTTAACCATCCATTTTTCTCAACCGTGCGCTCATGTCTTCGAGGCAGATATGTTAACAACTTATTTTCTATTTCCTCTGCTATATCAGATCGTTTTTCAAAATCTGTAACATCTGAACGTCCCTCTGGTGGGCTGATTATACTTCTGGTTGGCCAGTCATACGCTAGTCCCACAAACTCAACAAAATTGTGTGGTCAACATCGTAGTATCTCGGAAATATTCGAGACTGTTCATACTGCAGTAGCTATTCATAAGTAAGTAGATTTTCATACATTATAAAGTTCATGTCAACAAAAAACACAATAGAAGTGAGTATTATAAGGTTGATTTCCCATGCAATTATAACTATATAACTGCTTAAACTATTAATCACTCGGTTCATAAAATAATATTTCATGTAAAAAGTGTTCAAAGGCTATGACTACAAGTTTTACTCAGCGTAACGCATCGACTTCACAAGCAACCGTTGCGTTTAGAATTCAAATCAACACGCAAAGTTAGGCAACTCCATCTCTCCATATTCCAGTTAAGATCATTAGAGATTAATCATGTGATAAATGCGAATCATGGTCATTAGGCATTTTAATGTGTTTATATACAAAAGAATAAAGTGCTTTTTAGTAAACTAATGGTCATTGTGTGGTAGGGTTATATTAACGTAACTGCTATTTTTATTCCTTATATAAAGTTCAACCCAATACCAAAGTCTATGTCCATTTGCTCAGCTTTGTTGTATTCTAGTTCTTAAAATTAATGTTACAAAGCTATAGATTAGTGACCATAAAATTCAGTGGTCACAGGTTTCAATTTCGCTTTACTTAATTTAGACAGTTGGATAGTATCACTCACTAGTCTATGAAGTCATTGACAATTGAGCCGAGTCATGTTGACTGATGTAGACTGCCTGGTTGAAGTCTGCGTGTTCATCATAACCAGTGGTTAGGGACTTTGAATGATATAGTTTAGAATGATGTAGGTGCACCTATTCTTTGTCTTTCCCTAAATTCTCAGTTTCTCATAACTTTTATTGTTTTTATCTTACTGATTTATATTTCCTTGAATAATATATTCGGTGCCTGATCTTTTCTGTTACCTCTGATATTGTTACTGCCTCTACTATTCTGGTGTTCGGTCTGACAATCTAATCTCTCTGTGCTAATGGGGTATGACACTTTGAACCGATGTTCCCACGTAACAGGTTCTGCGTTGCAGTTGACTAACTTTTTGCTACTAATAACCAACTGACAAGCAAAATTAATTGTTTTCAAGTATTACTACATGATCCTCGCATTTTCTACATATTAATTTTCTCTTTGTTTGTTCTGTAGAAGTTTAGTCAATTTAAATGATTTGAATCAAAACACCGATGATAATGAAACATGGTTGAAAAATATGGAAATCTGCAATAAATTGGCAACCTTATCTGGAGATGTTCTACTTGCATCTGTCTCTACCAGCTTGGCTGGATTGCATCACGCTAATGTACGGCGATTTGAATAAATTATTATACATATATCATAGTAATAAAAAAGATATATAAGAAAAAGTTTGTTTAATTGGCTTCAACTGTGTTCCCTAGTATAATCATAAAGACATCCGACTACTGACTCCCAGATTCGAACTCCGCCTCTCCTACTACGGTTTCGACAACCAGAGTAGTACGATTAGCCGTCGAAATTAGTGTGTGGCTCGTACCCAAGCACATAATGAATGACTTTATTCATTTTATGATTATTCATTATAAAGAAGTAAACATAAGAACATGGCTTTCAGTGTTCATTAAATCTCAGTTCATTAGTTACCCCGTCACAGTATGCATTTACTACTTGGGAATTTTAATAATATTCAAAAACCGGCTCATAAAGAAATATTTATAAATAATAGCAAATATAGTGATGCATTTTGTATATGCCAACAGTGAATTCCCATAACAAAATCTTAATCTTAGGTAACTAGTGTCTGATATCTATCCGGACAATCTTGCAATTTATAAATGTAAGTTTAAAGCCTAATATCTAATCAAAATGTGAACAGTCAATAAAAGATAACATTAATGCAAGATTATTGCAGGTTAGATAACTACAACGGGAGCTGATACATGTCATACTTCAAACAATGTGCGATCAATTAGTGGTATTATATATATATATATATATATATATATATATATATATATATATATATATGACCGTCATCCGGATAGTTTTTTTGAAGTACTTCGTTCTGTTTTGAAAATAACTAATACTAGGTTGTCGGTGTTGTGTCCGAAGCAATTGGAAATATGATGGAGGCTGAATTTCACGAGTTAGCTACCAATTTAAATGTATCAAATACCAATAATTACAATCATCATGCTGAAAGTAGTATTGATGTCAATTCAACTGTAACGTCTAATGAAATATATGACCTATCGAAAGAAAAATGGCTTTCTTTTGTACAATTATCACGTGGTGCTCTTTTGGGAAGTTGTTGCGAAGCTGCTTTAATTCTTACCGAAAACCATATATCTAATCTGTCTATTACACCAACAAATAAAATATATCCAGATTGGGATAATTTTTTCTCCATTGCAAATCATTTTGGATCAACATGGGCTTGTTTAATACGGTTGACTGAAGAGAGGGAACATATTCAGCGTACTTGGGTAAGGATTTATTATTTTGTAATCAAATTTTAGGAAAACGTTTGCCTAGTATTCAATACCTTTTTTAATTTGTGTATACATTTACGCTGAATGATTTCATTGTTAAGCTGTACAATCGTAGTGTACGAACTTGTAAATACTTATTTCTTGAGGACATATGAACAATTAATAAACAGAATGATGCAATAGAAAGGTTATAATACTAGATTACGTAGTGTACACAATAACAATAAAATATTGTGTGTAGGTAAAAATCCTTGTGAGATTAATACGTTAACAACGGATTATGATGTGAACGATGTAAGATAATTAAAAAGGTTCGTATACCGTAACCGGAGTTTGCTTTCAAATTGGTTACGAGAATGTGTTCCAGTGTGGTTTCACAAAAATGAGAGAAAAACAGTTGGTAGTTCTATTGCTGAACATTCAATCAATTCTAGTCACTCCACTGATTCATTGAATTATTTTAAGATCACGTACAGAATTCGCTCAAATCTACCAAGTTTTCTTCATATTCAACTCTTTAAAACAGCCGAATTTCTTGTCATCCAAGAGATGAAGCTAGAACTATGAGTACAAATGAAGTACGTCCTATCTTTATGATGATCATGAACTTTTACCACTGTTATCATTATATTTCGTATTTGGAAATATTCCCCTCTTTAATTATTCCCCATGATTTTATTTGTAATTGTTTCTGATATTACTTCATTTTATTCAGCCTATCTATTACCTTTAATTATTGTGACAAGAAAATTTTAGTCACCTTACTCCATTCACATTAGAATCCATTGTTAACGTATTAATTTTATAAGGACTTTTACCTGCGCATGCACGTAATATTTTATTGTTATTATGTACACTACGTAATTTAGTATTATAGCCTTCGTATTACATCATCATGTTTATTCAATGTCGATACTTCCTCATGGAATTATATATATATATATATATATATATATATATATATATATAAATTTGCTGAACTTCGTGTTTTTAATTATTACATTGTAGAAAATTTGCAAAGATAACTAGTCTTAGATGGTCAACTGTATTCGTACCTTGTTTTATTGATAATAAGCAATCTTGTCCTTATACTAATAAAAACTAATTGGTTCAAACATCATAAATGTATATGGGCAGATGTTCAGGCTGAAACAGGTTGTTTTCCAACCTGTTTGGTTATAAGACTGTATGAAAGCGAGAAGCCGGCAGGGGGGACGGTGTTGTTTCGTAATCTCAGCTTCGCACCGCCACAAGTTGTGATTCAGATCGAATCAAGGATGAGTTCTACTGCTTATTAAATTATCTCGACATTGCACGTTCGGGAGACATAGTTGTATTGGCTGGGGACGTGAATAAGCAGAGGAGAGTCGTTTGAGAATCCATTGTGAACTAGATGGTGACGGGCTAAATAATTGTGAAGGCTTTGTGCAACCTTGTGCAAAACACAATCTATTTCTGTCGAACACAATCGCCAGTCACCAGTGATTTGGTACGTGACATTCTCTGTCTGCAACTCAAGGATACTCTCAGATTAATCATGTTTCGATTGGCTACATCTGAAGTGGATAGATGCAAGAGTACTGATCCTGTTTTGGTATTTATCTGCATTCTTCCCATACCCTGGTGAACATCATATTTATCTAGATTTTCGTGACCACTGAACATCGTTCTAAATGGAGTGATAAGAGAAAATTGACTAAATCTTCAGTTCAATCTGATATCAAACTAAGCTAGGCTAATCAACGTTCTTTTAAAGTTGGAAAACAACTAAATAAAATATGTATGGTGTTCTAATGACTTACCTACAAACTAGTGAAATATTTATGAAGTTTATGTATTTGACTATAAGCTTTTAGCATAGGGATTAGTAGTAATATTAACTAGCCCATCTAAACTGAGAAATATGGAACATGATTCAAATATGCGATTGGTTGGTTTAACTCTGTATACTTTAATAGGTGACTGCTAATCATATTTTATTAACAAAAGTCTGCATCATATGTGTGTATGGTTTACGACTAAAACTCTGCTAACACCATAATTAATAAGATGTCGATATCCATGTTTTTTTTTCATTAAAATGAATTTTCGTAATTATGCTTTGTTACTATTATTTGTTTTTCTACTTTAAGTCTACCAATCAAACCACTGATGCATATTGGTGTATAAAAAGGGAAATGCAATATATGAAAAACAATATGTATGGGTATCAATCAGTTATTCCATCTTATTCAGAATATGGTTTGAATGAACCAACATTTGCAGATGCTCTGCTACTCTCTTTACCTTCATCAAAAACGGATTATAAACTCATCGATATTCTTGATGAAGTTTTGTCAGAATATAATAGAATCGGACGTGAATTAGCTCAGAAATTACGTGAATATTTTAATCAGATTGTTTTCAATGCAGAACAATTCAATATTATTAGTGATAACATTAATTCTATTCATATAAAAGACACTAGTAATTGTTCACCTGGTATACAGTTGTTAGGTGAAATGGTAGACAAACTTATCAGTGATTGTAATTGTTCTCCATGAAAAGTTGAGTAGAAAAACTGTAATATAAACAAACAATCATAATTCTACTAGTTCTCCTCTGCAGTTTCCGTTCGGTATATATATATATATATATATATATATATATATAAAGTGCTTGGTTGAAAGGCAAATATCACTTATGATGGTATATCTTTACCATTTTCATGACTGACAGAACTTAGATTCCTAACATACCGCGTATTACATGAGCGACTAGAACCCACCAAGTCACAAATGTGGAAAGAGAAGACAGGTGAAAGGAATGCTATTCCAAACAGTGTCAATTATAGTTCAAAACTGTCAGGTATGTAGCGGTAAATAAATCCCCAAAGTAAATAGCTCTGTAAGTTTTCGACATTGGATACTGATCACATGTTTTAATCGACTCACCTAGCTGAAGGTGCTCGGTCATGCATCAGCACCAGATCACGTGTGGGAACGCCGTGCTCAACATCTACTGCAACCGCTAGCCAGATTAGGTCAGACGATTCTCGATATATTGATATCACATCAAATATATCTTCCGATCTCCTCGATTCTGTCTTTTGATTTCTCTTGGTGTGTGCGCTTCATATTAGGTGTTACTGGTTAAAGCGTTGTCAAACACTGGATACCTGTGCCATCTTCAGGTTTTTATAGTCTAGTAAAAACGAAATCATCATTATAGTCCTTCAATTCGCATACAGGGGACTATTAGCATTTGTCCAACAGGGAAACTACACGTAAGTATTCTGAAATTTTCCTCCAAAAGACGATTGGGTGGAATGTCTTCAGCTTTTTTTGAGCTTTCTCGAGTTGACTAGTGGGCCTTCCTCACAATACACCCTTGAGAATGTCATTTGGTAAACAACGAACACAGTAACTCACACACCAATGTGAGGGTAAAGAATGGGATGTTTTTCAAGAGTTCTGCGTTTTTGAAATCGTCAAAAGTCTTTCCAAACGACTAAATAGTTGAAACGGGGATTATCAAGGTTTACGAAGACAAGACCCAATAAACTAAGCGAGTTTTCTTACATTCTGTCGACTTGTCAACAACCTATACGGCATTTTCACGATGGTAGTAGATGTAAGATAGCAAATCAGGGCTAAAGATATAAAACCAGCCAGTTAAGGCAATGTGCAAGGATTGATACACGTTCCAAGCTCACCATATGTGCGAGAAATGATGGATTTCATCTCGTCTACTTTTCTGATGGATTTAAGTTTATGCAGTTGCTCAAACCAGTGTCTATCTGGATTCAGTAGCTAGGTGGACAATGTGATAACATTTGAAGCATATAGTACTAGACTCTAGTCGCAGACAGAACATCAACTCTCGGAAACAGTCACATCCAGCTGATTAATCCCATAGGACGGAAAGCGTGTTATGGATACAACTGCTAGTCAACATCCATCTCTTCCCAGCATAAGTTGTTCGTTCATTTGCATTTCTATGTAAATTGATTTTCTGTTCGTTATTCTTTTTCTACAGTAACATTTTAGTAGTACTGTGATGATGAGAAGTAATTAAATTATTATACAAACTCGGAATCTCAGAAATTACGCGAATTTGACCCAAGAGAATTAGGTGAGCACAAACGAACGTGTCATATTTGAAGTTTGAAATCAGTCATTCATCAAGTACTAATGAATCACTAATTCATACAAACACCATGTCGGCCACGACTTAAATGAGAACCCGAATTTCTGCAATCAATTGTACTTCTCCTTATCATCATCCTGTGTATCTCCGACTGTGTATTGGATGTAGGTTCTGTATGATCCAGAGTATACTAATTAGTATTAGAATTAAAAACTGAAATTGGAATGAACTCACCTGGGTCCGGGAATTATATATATTCAACACGTCGCTTGTGTGCTGAAATCACTGGTAACTAGGTTTTGAACCATAGACTTTCTAAGATTATCCTACCCCACAAAATAGTGTAGGGTCCGTATGTCGCAATGTCATGGCCAATTTGACGTTCCAGACTTGTATTATCTTCTCATATCTCACACTTCAAATATTACATGTGAGTATTTAGGGATAAATACTGACTTATAATTTCATCATGTGACTTTGACCTGCATAAAAATGTGATACATATTCATTTGCATTTCAAGCTGGAATGCACAAAGTCATTGTTTCGGATACCAGATAAAAATGTATTGACATGTGTAGTTAACACATGTGATTCATCTAGGCTTCATTTACCTGCAAAACATTCTAATGGAAAATTTGCACCTCCTTCATACTCATTAAGATAATCTTGGAGTCGGTTTGAGTTTTCTGCCTATGCAAACTCCATATCTGGATAAATTAGTTCTCTAACTGCTCCGGGAAAACCTGCTATTTACTCTGCATTCATCATACCACTGTATAGGGACTCTAATAGACATACACTGGTCGTGAGAATATCCAGCATCTGATATAATAACATCCTAAATGTGACTAGAATTCGACTCATTCGGAACATATTTGTCCCACTCATTAGTGATATCACTATAGATAAACCCATTATGAGGACAAGCAACATCCTATGCGACTCCATAAGGATCGTAATCAGAATTTAACTCATTTCGAACATGATTTTCACAGTTAACTGAGATTTCACTAGAGAAAAATGAATAATTATGGCAAACCACATCTGATAAAATAACATAATAATTTTGGTCTGGATTTGATGCACTCGGTTCATCTTCCACACATTTGCAAATAATTTCATTAGAAATAGATAAATTATGAGAACAATGTAATCTGGTAAAACGGTATCACGAATCAGATCAGAGTATGATTCACTTGAAACATTCAACTTAATAGGGTTGGGATTACAAAGTTTAGGGTTAGTTGCTGTAAAATAAACAGTAGTATTACAGACTGACTCAATGTATCAAATGTTATCACATTTAAAGCATTTAATAGTATGAAATACACTTGAATTTTATTGGTGAAATTTATCACAGAACAAACATCTTCTAAGCTTGTGTTTCAATTCACATCCTCAGCTCAGGAATTTTGGGCAAATGCTTGACAAACTGAGTGGACTCGATCCATGGTGGCTACTCAAGAAAGGAACTTCTGCGTAACATTTATTACATACCAGCTGTTATTTAGTTTTCGTTCAATAAACTTAGCATAATAAGCACATTTGGGTCAACTGATACACTAACACTTTCAACAATGAAGAAATCAAGCCAGACTGAACACTGGACAAAATGACATCCTTTATGAGAAAATGAGAAGTAAACAGAAAATTCGAGTTCAATATACCTCTTTTTCGTTTAAGCTGGGCTTATGACTAGAGTTTTGTACCCGAAGTATTTGAGGTCAGAAAATAAGATGTGATGAATTTCTGATATACTCATTCCCAGTTTTTTGGTGATGTCCTTAAAGTTACTTCAAGAGATGATTAGGTATTTCGTTTTATTTTCGTAGTGGGAATATTAACCTCGTAGTTTTATAACAACCTAGTGCAAAGTTACTACTTTACAAGTTTATTATTAGCCCACGATCTGACTCCAGTTTGGAAGAATCAATGAATATGTCACAAACATAAATCTTTCACTTAATTTCCCACACTAAATCTAGGTTAACTCTTGTAGCGGTAAATAAATCCCCAAAATAAATAGCTCTGTAAGTTTTCGACATTGGATGCTGACCATATGTTTTAGTGGACTCATCTAGCTGAAGGCGCTCGGTCAGGCATCCGCACCAGATCACGTGTGGTAACGCCGTGCTCAACATCAACCGCAATCACTAGCCAGATTAGATCAGAGAATTCCGATATATTGGTCATCGCCAAATATACTCTTCCGATCTCCTCGACTCTGTCTTTTGATTTCTCTGGGCGGGAACGAAATATATTAGAAGGTGTTACTGGTAGAAGCGTTGTCAAACACTGAATACCTGTGACATCATCATTGGTGAGACCGTCGTGATCTGGTACACCCAATTGCAACTGTGAGTCTGTTCCTTTTTGGGATTTTTATATATCATTGCCTTATTTTTTTTTTTTTTAAACATTGTGATTTTTTTTCGTGTTTCTTCTTGGATATATATATTTTCCCCTCGTTCATTATCATACTTCATCATGACTGAACAGACACCTAAAGTACTCAAGCTTAAGACTTTGTCCCCGCCTTCGTTTCAATTGATGCCTTTCTGGCCCGACAACATCGAAGCCTGGTTCTGCTACGCAGAAGCCGACTTCCACGAGCACGGCGTGATCGACACACGTGCACAATTCCTCGCAGTAGTCAAGGCACTACCGCGCGAATTCAACAGGTACGTAACACCTAGTATGTTTACTAGTGATGTTTCCGATCCCTACGAAATCTTAAAACGCTCGATTCTTAAACGAGGAGACCTAACCGATCGACAAAGGTTAGATCAACTCTTCAACAATATCGACCTGCAACACGGTTCTGCGACAGACATGTTGCAACGGATGAGAGAGGTAATAGGCCCAAGAACTTTCGACGAAGGCCTATTCAAACAACTCTTCTTGTCAAAACTTCCCCAACAGGTGCAAGCAGTTCTGGTCTCGTTCCAGAACAACGCCTTAGACGAGCTAGCTGCATCTGCCGACCGCATTTAGAAATTACGAAATCTACTACCGAGGTATTTTCAGTCAAAGAAAAACCTCAAACGACTCAGAATGATATAAACGACTTATGTCACACACTCACGCGTTATCTTAGTCTTCGTACCGACCGTAAGAGATCGCGCACACCACGTAGAAGCATTTCTCGTAAGCGATCTGTCTCTAGACCACGAGAGACAGATAACCCCGACTGGTGCTGGTATCATAACCAGTATGGAAAGTTTTCCAGAAATTGCAGAAAACCCTGCAATTTTCCCAACACGAAACCGACTGATTCGAAAAGCAATTCGGGAAACTTCCAAGCCGGCACGCGTTAACGGCAACCGTAGCCGGCGAACAAAGCCGTCTGTTATTCGTCACAGATGTGACAACGAGAGTTCGCTACCTCGTCGACACTGGCGCAGAAGTTAGCGT